GCATTTGGTTTACTACACAATTATGCACATGAAGCAGTGAAGCATAGTTGTTGGGCAGCACAAAAGTGCAATCTGATATTCCTGCGGGGGACAGTTAGTGCAGTGCACAACACAACACGGCTGTGCTTCTTTGAGGTGCTTACCAAATGACCCAAAGAGTGACTTTAGCATAGGAGGGTTAATCTGTATACAACATGTTAAACATCTCAAATTTTTCAACGATACATTAGCATGTTTTGGTAACCCTTCTTTTATAAAATTTTTGGGATTCTTGCACCTATTTTAATTCGACTATTATTGATTTTCTTTAAACTGAAATCCTACCCTGCAGTTCTGTGTGTATAAGATATACACAGTCAGGTTTTTTCTACTTTCCATCTCACAGAAAGCCATTGACATAGTTACCAAGGCGACAGAGGAAGACAAGAACGGCAATTACGAGGAAGCTCTTAAGCTGTATACACATGGCGTAGAGTATTTCATCCACGCCAATAAATGTAAGTTGTTTACTAAACTATTGGTGTTTTGCACCTTGTTGGACTTTCTTTGAGATTCAGAAAGCAAGTGGGCAAGTACTTGGGTAGTTCACAGGCTGAGTTTTTATCAAATAGTTGTTAAATGTAATATTGACGTGCCAGTAACTTTGGTAGTTGGTGAATCAACACAAGTCTTTTTTGCTCCCAGATGAGGCCCATGGAGAGAGAGCAAAGCAGAGCATCCGTGACAAGTGCACCCAGTATCTGGAGAGAGCGGAGCAACTCAAGAATTACATCGACAAGAAGAGCTACAAGAAGAAGCCGGTCAAGTCGAAGGAAGGAGGCAGCAATTCGTCCAAGAAGGGGTGAGAAATCAGTAGCAGTAAAGGCTGTGAGTGAAATTGAGAAACAGAGTTTGCTTTTGCAGGGTGTCTTGGCATCTGGGCAGCCCAGGACCTCCATACACACCCCCGAGGTCTGCAATTAAAGAGGTCAATCTGGTGCTGCTGGAGAGTAGCAGAACCAACGTGGGAGACGGCAGTAACACGGTGTTCTTAGGGTCCTTTAATAGCCTTTGCTCTTTTTGTCAATGTAGTTTCAAGTATGAAACTTATCAACGATATCCTTCCCAGACCCCTTGATCTGCAAGATTGAGGTGGGTAGAGCCAAGCCACTATTTCTTTACTTGGGGCTTGGTGCCTGCTGAAAGCAGTCAAGAAGATGGAGATGTCTGAACCTGGCTAGTTTCTTAATACAAACGAGGGGGAGCAACAGTTGATATTGTATTTATGCAAAGCAGCAAGAGCCTTACATGTTCCTGGAATTTCATTCTTTTTTGGGGGCCACTCCAACCCTTCTCTAAGTTTTGTTTTCCAGTAGTTTGCTTTTATCCTCTATTTCTGTATCATTGTTAACCCTAACCCTCCTCAATCCTTCACCTGTTGGAGGACTGAGGAGGGTTAGGGTTAATCTTTGTAGACCTGGTGTTTTAAATTACAGATTTATAGTCAGTGCCATTTAGGTTTAGTAAATACAGTTTCCATTTTGAAAGGTACAGTAGTAACTCAAAAGGAAGCTATTAACAAAAATGAAGTTTGAATATAAATTACTTCTGTGCAGAGATGTTTGTTTTGAAAGAATTGCTTCTGCTTCACATACTGCGCCAACACCCTTGGAAGGTTATAAACGTGCGGGTGTAGTGTTGGCAGTTGGCAATAATTTAGTCAAGAGGGTGGGCACGGTTTAAAAGGACCTTGTATCCATGGTCAACAGGCTGGATTTGAAAGTGTCGACAGTAGAAGCTTCCAAAATGAAGTGAAGGAGTTGGTTCCATTCAAGGACTGTACGTGGAATATTAAAAAAAAAGCAAGTATTTGTAGCAGTCCTTTTTGGTGTGAAGAGGAATGAATGTGGAGTTTGGTATGCAGCCTCTAGTTAACCTACGTGGACTGGAAGTTTTGGGAAGTTTGTCATCCTGGAAAGCTCAGCTAGGCCGTTTAAACTTTTGTATGAGAAAATTAGCCTACAGACTGCCCGGCATTCTTCCATGGGCATCCACTCTGATTTTTCCAACATGATCGTTACACCGGTGTATCTCTGGTAATTTCCAGTTACAAAGCGAGCTGCTTTACGTTGAATAGTCTCTAGTGCAGTTTTATCAGACTTTGAGTGGGGGTTTTCCACTGCTGCTGAGAGTGTGTCCTTGTCATTTGAGATTGCACATTGTCCATCTTCAAGAGACCTTTAATTTAAGGAATGACGGATCCTACCATTTGAAATGTAAATGTTCCCATTGACACTTATTTTGGATCTTTCAAACTTTGCATTGAAAGGAGTAGCTGGTACATACATTGAATGTTTTTTCTTTCTGTCTGTATCACCAGGAAAGGTAACAATAGTGACAGTGACAGCGATGACAACCCCGAAACCAAGAAGATGCAGGCCCAACTACAAAGTAAGTATGTGTTACACTTGCACTTTTCAAGTCGCAGAAGCTGAAAGGTCATCTGCTGAGCTGTGGAAATCAGCTGGGAGAGCTGTGGGGCTGTTAGCAGTAGGTTGTAATGTGTTGGCATTGAGTTTGCCTGTTAGACCGTGTATGGGAGTTTGCCTCGGTGGATAAGTAGCCATAGCTTTCAGGATACTGTGGAGAAATGAAATGGCTAAAACATCAACTGAAAATGTACTCTTATCTCTGAAAAAGGAACCCCATTCACTCTGAATCCAAGAAAAGCTAATAAACTCTGTTTATCTCAATTCCTCAGCAGTAGTGCTAGAAAACTTGCATGTCCTTGAAAATCCACATTTTACAGGAACTCTGTGGCCTGTGCTTTACACTTTGACTTGCAGTCAGGGTCTTTCCCCGTGCAAAGTCATAGTGATTTGTCTCAGTGGGTTGTTTCAACCTGGATCCTACAAAATCCCACAAACCTGGTAGATTTTGGAAGATCAGGAATGACAAAGTTAATCTTGGCAGGGGGGCCTTTTCTACCAGCCTATGGATTCTGTTGGATTCCGTGGGATATCAAGTCAAAACACATTCTTGGTAGCAAGTTGCGAATGACCAATGAAGATTTTCCCTGTGACTCTGTTTGTCGTAGGTGCAATTGTAATGGAAAAACCCAACATCAAGTGGAATGATGTGGCTGGTCTGGAAGGAGCCAAAGATGCCCTGAAGGAAGCCGTCATCCTGCCCATTAAATTCCCTCATCTCTTCACCGGCAAGAGACAAGCCTGGAGGGGCATTCTTCTCTATGGGGTACATTTTAACAATCAAATGATGCATTGTAGATCTTTGCTCATAAACGGACCGTTTGCTTACCAGTTTTGCAGTTCAGATCTCATTAGACCCTCGCAAGACCAACACAAAACCACCAGTCTCAATTCATATCGCCAATTTTTCAAATGTTCTGCTACAAAAAGCATTCCTTCATCATTTTTCACCCTGTTACTTGTGACTTGTTGATGGTCTTGCAATGGTCTCGATCACAACACTGCTGCCCACACAAGTTGGAGTGCTTTGGAGGATGCCACAGAACATAGGCTAATTGGCAAAAGACCCAAGTAAGGCGTAGTAAGTTGAGATGTCTTGTGTACAGCTGGTTGTTGGTTTGAACCAAGCCCAGTAAATCTCTTCTCAGAAGCTAATCAGAAAGGGCCCTGCATAAGGCTGGTCTGGTACCGGTAGTTAGAATACACCACCTAAGGGTGTAGTTCATCAGGAATCTCACCAATCACATCCTCAATCTTTATTATGTTACGGCTGTCTTTCCTCATCAGCCCCCTGGCACAGGTAAATCCTACCTTGCCAAAGCCGTGGCTACAGAGGCCAACAACTCAACCTTCTTATCTGTGTCCTCTTCTGATCTAGTCTCCAAGTGGCTGGGAGAAAGCGAGAAGTAAGTCAGACTTGAATACAGGGGATTCTAAGAGTCGTTGTTGACTCGTAGAATGTGTAAAAAATATATATATATTATCCAAAAACTTAACCCTCCTTTGGTTTTACAGCACAAATGTGCACAAATGCCCACAGTCACTGGTGAGCATGTATTTTCAGTATGGAACTCAAACATGCACAGGTTCAGTGTGTACACAGTTGATGGCCGGCACAAAATGACCCAGGGTCTTTTATGCAGTCCTCTTCACTGCATTTGGTTTACTGCACAATTAGGCACATGAAACAGTGAAGCACAGTTGTTGGGCTGCACAAAAGTGCAATCTGATATTCCTGTGAGGGACATTTGGTGCAGTGCACCACACAACACAGCTGTGCTTCTTTGAGGTGTGTACCAAGTGACCCAAAGAGTGACTTCAGCATAGGAGGGTTAATTAAAGGAAGCTGTGCTTCTTTGAGGTGTTTACCAAGTGACCCAAAGAGTGACTTCAGCATAGGAGGGTTAACGAAACCAAAAATTCCCTTGATTGTGTTGTGAAAAATATGCAAATTACATGAACACATTGACCTTGATGTTGATTTCATTGAAACTGGAGGAGGTCTTATTTATATTTAATTTGAAACCTGAGACTCAAGAGCATGGCAAAAGCTCTTTTGATAAATGAAAAATGTGGTAGTTTAAATTTTTGTAACAGGTGCCTCTGATAAAGCTTAAGCCTAACCCTCGTCAGTCCTCCAAAATCCTTCGAGCGGTTTTGGTGGATTGAGGGCGAATGGCAGAAGTGCATGGCTGATTGCGAAGGTTGCTTTGAGTGAAAGTCACGGGTTAGACCTTGTGTTGTTCTTGTTCTTTTGAATCAACCGTCCTGCTCAAGAATGCCATTCGCACTGCCTTAACATAATGAGAAGCGTTGCCGGAGGATTTTTAAGGACTTAGGCAGGAGGCACACCTCCAAATAACAGTTTCAAGAAATTTTGAAGGATTTCAGAGGATTGAAGCTGAATGCAATTTTGTCATGTCAAAAATCTGAGGATTTTGGAGGATTGAGGATGGTTCAAGTAAAAAGGCCTGGGGAGTTAGGGTTAAAGTCAGCAAGAAACCAAATTAGATTTTACTGTAGACCGCAATCTTTTACACGTATATGACCATTGAATTTCTTCTTGCAGGCTAGTGAAGACTCTCTTCTCCCTAGCAAGGGAAAACAAGCCCTCCATTATCTTCATTGATGAGGTGGACTCACTGTGTGGCTCAAGAAGTGAGAATGAGAGTGAGTCGGCGAGACGGATCAAGACTGAGTTCCTGGTCAACATGCAAGGTCAGCCGGGTTTTTCATGTAGAAATGAACCAACAAAGAAGGCATTTGCAGGGCTGTAGTCTTTTTTTGGTTTTTGAAGGGAAACTCCCACAGTTTAATGAATCAGTGACTTAGATAAATGACCTTTTAGTAACGCGACTGCTGGATCAGCTTAATGTTACATGCTGAAGTTAGGCTTGCCTGAATTCCTTGTCAGCTGTTGACACTTCCAAGTTAGAGTAACTCGATGATTTCATCAAAACACTAAGGAGCTTGAACAGTGTTCTACAGGTGTAGAAATCCACTGGGAGGTCATTTGCTCGTTGAATAATCCTTGTGGCTAGGTTGATTTGACATTCATGTATTTTCTTGCCTCCTTGATACCGTTTGTCAAACTGGACAAGAATCATTTCATTTTTCTTCAAAGTTTGTAGAATTTAAAGACATTGGAAACTTGGTAGTGAAAGATTCAATTTGGTCAGAGTTGATCGATTGAAAAGTTTGTCACCCATTAGTAATGTGTCATGTGGAGTGGTACATGTAGCTGTGTTGGCTAAGTCAATGTTTCTCAGTAAGCACATGTGCTTCATCACGGTCACAGTGGTAATCCTCAAGTATGTTTCATGTGGTAGGTGTGGGTGTTGATAATGACCAGGTCCTAGTGCTCGGGGCCACCAACATCCCATGGACCTTGGATGCTGCCATCCGAAGAAGGTAGGACAGCCTCTGAGCTTTACAGCTCTCCCCCCCTTCAACCCACCCTCCTTGGCTTGCTGGCTGGGAGCCCCGTGAATCCTCCAAACGCCTCTGCTGTGCATTAACTACTTCATGCCGGGCCCATTTATCTGTTATTTGTTGATTCTGCTGGGCCGGGAGATGTTTCATTTTTTTCTGTTTTCAAAATTCTTTAAAAATTCTTATCTTCATTTACTGGACACTTACAAACACGTGAAGGAATGTCTGTTGTCCACTTCAGCTTGACAGACAAAATCTATTGACACCTGACTATTTCAGCCAGGCCTGCTGCCTTGTAAAAAGAGCCCAGATTGTGCGATGTTATGTAAGTTTCTTTAGTTCCCGGAACCGGCACAGTGTGTTGCTGACGTCTTTTTAATAGGTGCCAGATTAGCATGCAACGGTATTGTATTGCTCATCCCCGATGGTGATCCGCTCGCGCTAAATGCCACGAACGGTGGTATAATCTTTCAAAACAATGACAGATTTCCTCCGCTATCGACAACTGAAAAAAGTTGGAAATTCCCAGCAGCTTGGTCTTTTGTTCCGAGTACGGTCTTTTGTGGCAAGTACCAGCTCTTTTGTCCTGTTTCAGGTATAAAGAAAACAAACCCGAAATCAGGTCCCCCGGCAGCAAGTGGTTAACGACTTGCCGCCGGGGTTGCCGGTACCAGACACATATTCTTTATACGGGGTCTCCGAAATTGGACAGAGGGAACTGGGCCTTGTAACAAAAGGCTGTACTTGTAACAAAAGACCAGGCTGCTGGGCATTGCAAACATTATTTCACTCTCAATAGTGGAGATAATCCAGCCTTGTTTTGAAACAGTATACCATGGTTTTAGGGATTTCGCGAGGGCAGATTACCACTGGGGACAAAAGTGCTCCAACACCGCAGCGATGAGCCACAGTGCCGCTGCACAATAATTTGGCCCCTATTGACAAGAGGTCAGCATCGCACTGTGCCAGATTCGTGAACTAAAGAAAACTACGTAACACCGCATAATCTGGCCTCTTTTTACAAGGCAGCAGGCCTGGCTGAAATACTCGGGCGTCAATAGAAACCAGACAGTCCTTTGTGTGGGCGTAAGTGTCCAGTAAATGAAGATATGCATTTCTAAAGAAGTTTGAAAACAGAATAAAAAGAAAATTATCCCGTCCCAGCATCATCAACATTCATAAATGCCTCCGGCACGAAGTGGTTAACCCTAACTCAACAGGGATTTCTGCCAAACAGCTATTTAAATTCTTCCAAATCCTCCCGCCGTGCATGAAATCAGTTGCTTACTCTGTATACCTTAACTTTCCAATAGGTATGACAGCCTGTATTATGTAATATTGGCCAGAAACTACTTTCCTGAATCTGACGAATCCCTTTAAAAGCTTTGTTACATTTTGGGGAATGGGGGTAGGGGATGGGTCAAATAATGAGCTGGTCTTCATTTCTTGAATTCAGATTTGAGAGAAGGATCTATATCCCTCTGCCGGAGGAGACGGCCCGCATGACCATGTTCAAGCTGCACATGGGCAAGACGCCATCTGATCTGACCGACAGTGACTACAAGTACCTGGCCTCGCTGAGCCAAGGCTACTCCGGGGCGGACATCAGCATTGTCGTCCGGAATGCCCTGATGGAACCTGTGCGCAAGGTCCAGACGGCTACCCACTTCATGAAGGTATGCCATTGTCCAAACCTCAAATTGAATTCTGGCTTTGGCTGTCTCTCTCTCTCTGTGGCTGCAGAACTGTTTTCTTCAAGTATGTATGTTTTGTGAGAGCAGTTCATTAACATTTGTCCATGGTGTAAGACAAATCAAAATCATTTTTCAGGTTGGTGTTGCAAGGTTTTGATAAAGTGAATGTTTTAATGTACTAAATCTTAGAAAAGAGCAAGTATTAGCTTTTACTAGATTTCTGCAAAATGCACGTTGCTTTTTGTGTGAAATTTGACATTAGAATGCAATTTAAAAACTGGTAATTGCTACATAATTTGAAAAAACTTTTCTTGCCCAAACAGATTTCAGGTCCTTCACCAACAGACCCAAATGTGATGGTTCATGACCTTTTGACCCCCTGCTCCCCGGGTCACCCACAAGCCATTGAGATGACATGGTTGGACGTCCCCAGTGAGAAGCTGGCTGAACCCAAAATCACTGTGGTAAGTCAGAAGGTATTTTTTCTTTTTACCTGGGTCTGTAGTGTGTGCTTGTGGTGCACATGGCCTGGCGTTGAAGGTCTGTGACTCATGATTGGAGGGTCATGGGCTCGAATCCAGCTGCTGATTGTATGTTGTGGCCTGGGGCAGGTCACTTCACCCTGACTCGCCTATCTCCACCCTGTAGTACCACCATTAGCTGGGGAGCCACCTGCGATGGACTGGCAGCCCATCCAGGGAGAACAGAAGTTTTCTCAATCAGTTCATGTGAAGGAGACTAGAGAGAAACAGCAGAGTAATGAGACAGCTGGCTCAGAACAGACCTGCTTGCTTGCTTGCTTGCATGAAAGCGTGTACTGCCAGATGTTGACATGTAACGTTGGTTTAACCTTGGAAGGCCCTCATGGTGAGTGCTGGCCGAAAAAGTGATATCCCCTATGTGCGAACTTGCAAGAACAGTGGGCTGTCCGAACTATGAGCTCAGCCGTGAGCAACAATCTCCCTCCGGTCGGCACACCATGAATGTGTTTCTTGGTCTTGCATATCAAACTGCACTAAAGTAATTTCGCTAATCTGCAGTGCACCACTGTGGGAGTCTAGCCTGGGGCGTCAGCAAGGTATAGTTGTTGATTCAGTCTGTCACAGGTGAGGGGGGCTCACAAAGAAGTCAGCCATGGGTGTGGGTTATGTGTTCATTGGGGGAGGGGAGGCTACAGTCTGGCCTGACTGTCTAGCGTCTGGGCTTTTTAATTGTTAGAAACTGACGGTAGTGAGATGTCCTAGAGGGCCAGGCCTGGGCTAGCCAAGCTGCTCTGGTCTATTTACTCCTACCCCTGAGCTCAAGATTGCAACCTTGGATAGCAAATGAAGGGAGAACCCTGGAACCTGCTAACAAACACTGGCTAAGCTTTATGTTTCGGTTTTCATTGCCCCTTCAGCCGTAGAACAACATCCCATTCAAATAGTCTGTGTTATACACAGCACCCTGGCACTGTAAGAAAATATAGCCACCATTAGTTACGATGAAATAGAATCTTGTTGCTCTTAACACAGCGAGGGTATATGTTAGTTTTGTTCATTATTGCAGCTGCGCCAACTTGGGGGGTTGAAACCCTCCCCTTTAAAATTACTGCAGCATTTGATGGGCCAGAGTCTGTTTTCAAACCAACAGAAAGACATGCAGGTGTCGCTGGAGCACATCAAGCCATCCGTCAACGAAGATGACCTGAGCAAACACGTCAAGTTCACAGAGGAATTTGGCCAGGAGGGTTGACCACAGGTAAAAGAAAAGGCGATTTGGTTCAAATTCCAGTAACGCTGGCTCAAACCTTAGCTTGGCCAGAGACAATAAAGCTGAACAGCCACAGATGTGTAACTGTGGGACATTGCCGTGTTGGGCAGTCAACGGCAACAGTGTAAATTGCCTAATTCTAAGATGGGAGCTGGTCCTATCGAACACCATCACTGTAAGGAATATAGACCTAACACGTCAAGAACACTCTTACTACTGGTTCTTTTCAGAAGTGCAGTTCTTCAAAGAAGGGACAGATACAATGTACGAGTACAAGGCTCGCTTGTGTAATAGTGTTAATTCTTGTTTTGGATGGTGCCACACAAAAGCCAAGCAGTCAGTTACCGGTGGTAATACAGGCATTTGTGCTGTCAAAAGTTTGCAATTGCAGTGGCCACTGTATGCAACGAGCATTCGAATGGGCCGACACGTCAGGATGTGTTGACTGGCAATGCACATTTGGAAAGGGTCGACATATTAATGATTGATTGGCCAATGCATTGCAAACTCTTGGTGGCGCACTACTGTTAAAAGGTTTGTTTTTGCCAAAATCTCTGCGTAGTTTTTTGCTTGGAACCTTTCTGAATCTGGCAAATCTGGCTTCTCTCTCTGCATAGGAAAACTCAAACTGTTAAGGATACAAATTCCCTTTATGAAGTATTCAAGAGTTGTTGGGCTGTGCCTTTACGAGGGTTGGGGTTGAGGGAGTGTCCTTGAAACTTGGAATGCTAGAGAATGTTCCAATGAGAACAATGATTGTTCTAACCAGAACACCTACTTTTCCCTCTTCTGAGAACAACCATACGCTGCCGATGGAAACAGGGTTCAAAGTGTTTGCTTGCATGAGAAGAGCATGCTCCTCAATGGGAGTACAGCAGATTTCCACCCAAGAACACGAGAGTGTTCCAAGGAGCATTCCAGAGGGAACAGTAATACTCTGACCCTTGAGACATTGCCCAAGTTGCCTGGATTGGTAAATGACTGCGAAGGGAAGAGCACAAGCCTTATAGTGATATGTACCTCACTGTTTTGTGGTTAGATTGAAAACAAGTCTGGAGTGTCAAGAAAATCTTTCCATGCAAATTACTTCAAATTGCACTCCAGAGAGAAGGTCTCAAGTCCTGTGCGTTGACGATCTCCACAGCTTAAGTTGAACAACAGGGCAGTCATATTGGTCAATGAAGCCATTTGTTCACCTTAACCCTAAACCTCTAGGCTTTTTTTTTTCCCTAGGCATCCTCCTCAATCCTTAAAAATCCTCCAATTATCCATGCAAAAAAAATTGTATTTAGCCTCAATGCTGAAAAATCCTCCAATACTTCTTCAATGTGCTCTTCCGAGAAGGATGCTCGCTACCTAAATCCTTCAAGCTCCTCAAGCGATTCCTGTCATTGATTATTCTAGACATTAATTTATGTGTGGCCGAGTATAAACGTCACAAAGTCTAAACCACAACCTTGACACATCGCATCCCTCACAACCGTTCTTCCTCAGTCCTCCAAATTCCTCCAAAACCACCCAGAAGATTTTGGAGGATTGAGGAGGATTAGGGTTGAACTTGAAATAGCCCTCTGACTGATGCTTCTCTGTAATTTTGTGTTTCTGTTTTGGTCCTTACAGAATTTATTGGCATCGATCAAAACTGTCAGATGTAACGTGTTGGAAAGGAGGTTTTTGTAAATACTGTAAATGCTCAGTACAGACAACAAGAGAACTCCAAAACTGAAAGGTTTGATGTAACAAATGTAACCGCTTGTTCTCTATTGGTAATTTGTATCTTTAAAACCCACCATGTTCTCAACAAATTGTGCTTAAGATGGAATTTTTCTTGGTATGATGTAAACATGCAGCGTAAGTTCCGTGGTGATTTGGCCACCCTAGGTAACATTTGGAAGGTTGTTTTTACCAGCTGTCTGGACACAAAATACAGCTTTTGTTCTCTCAGTAGAATTCAACCATCTGTCTGAGTGCATCTCCATTGCCACAGAAGTTTGTACGATCACCAGTGCCAGTGTTATTTCTTGCCTTCACTGTGCATTTCCCTTGCAGTGCTTCTCGACACTATACAGTGAAGCTACTGTCTGCATTTTATCTATATCCGTTGGCCAGGGTCCAATTTTCACAGAGCTGCTTAACAGATAGCAGACAAATCATGCTTACTAGAGCAGAAAAATTTGCCAACCTTAAGCACTATTTCAAGGTGGTGCTTGCCGTAGTTGTGCTGACAGTTGCATGCGTGTAGAGATTTCTATTGTTTTATCACGACGTTAACCACTTCCTGCCGGGGACTGCAGAATCAGAGACGTATGGCTAATATGCGTGGCCGGGGTCTGCGAACTCGGACAAAGGAAACAGGGC